TACCGTGAAAATCCACAGTGGAGAAACCGGGTCCAAAAAACGCGGGTACCCCGACGAGATCTTTGCGCCGTACAACGTAACTCGTTGCGCTGATTCCGAATATCTAAGTTTCAAAAATTCCGTTTCTGTAGAAAAAAACCATCGAATTCTGTTTAGTGACTAAACAGACTCTAGTATTTTAATATTTTTAATGGTACTCACAAAACCGAGCAATAAGAGAATATTCTTATTCTCCGGATATCGAAACACCATATTGAAAAATAATAAAATAATCTCAATATTTATTTATTTTAACATGAGCTCAAAAAGCAATTTTTTACAACAACTGAGTTAGATATTGATCATTTATTATTACATATCCCTGTATTACTTACTATTTGTTAAAATTCTTGTAATTTCTGTATAAACACGTTCAACTTTGTACAACATTCACCATTAAAAATTTTCTGAAAATAATCGCGCCAGTATTTTACATCGTCTGCCATTTTCAACGAATCCGCAAGACTGTCATGAATATTCCAAAAATCAATAGGAAATATTGCTGTTGGATCAATAAATGTTTGTTGAAAATAACTGAAAAATTTTTCAAATCCATTTTTTTGCTCAAATTCACATTTGAGATGCTTAAAGCATTCTTCAATACTCTCCGACGACTGATATGCTAATTCAACACATTTATGAATATTGAAAGCAAATTCATTAGCTTGATCGTTTTGAGCAGCACTGCTCATTATCTAAAGTAGTTAAGAGATGCAAACTGTGGTATTTATCCATCATCAACGGATGCGTTGAGTCCAAACGTTTATTTGAAAACATCTTGCACTTTGAGGCCAGATTATGTCAATATAATTCGTTTAACTTAACCTGTTTTGTGCTGAATGACAATCAACCCTGGTGATCGATTCTTACAAAAGAATCTGATAAGGAACTTATAAGAATCCGATATGACTCGTATAAGTCCTATTAGATTCTTATTAAATGGTTACATAAGACGTTCCACGAAAGTGACAACAATTTGATAAAAAGCAGATAAGGATCAATTAAGAGTTCGACAAGCAAAGAACAAGGACAGACAAAAAGTTCCAATATTTTTTTCCTCCTTTAATTAGCGGTATAGTTCATTAGTGAGTGAGATAAGAGGGCGCGAGGTATTCTCAAAACGACCAGTCTTACTTACCTTGAAGAAACTTTGAAAAAATTTCCAAGAAATCAGTGGGCTTATATGATATATGTGGTTCTGCAAAGTAAAACGGTATCTAGCTTTTAGTAAGAATTTCATAAGATAAGAACGTCTTATGAAAGTCATAGCTCATTTTCATTTAAACCTTACCTGATTCTTATCGGATTCGTACGAAATTCTTGCCATTTTCATACGGACTTCTTATGTAAGAATCCGATAAGACTCGGATAAGATCCTTATGAGAAATAACGAAAAATGTTCGTCTAGGGAAGTGGATACTACTATGCACCTACTTACTCGTAACTGTCTGCTGATAATCTGTTTGTAATGAAAATGTGATCCGGTTACGTAAATTTCCGGAAATATGCACTTGATACTTGATATTGGTTCTAACTGGAAGTCAGATATGAACAACAAGGGATTCCAGCTTGATATCAATCGTGTTATTTGCCGGAAAAGCATATCATAACAAGATTCGCTTTCTAACAGAGCAAACAAGACCGGAACGAAATGGTTTTGATGAATTACATAGAAAACACACAATTTTGAAAACAACTCGGGTACAATCTCCTGACAAGTGTCTATATGAAAATCCAATGAATCTTTTAACAAATTCAACTTTGCTTCCGTAGTAAATATCATTAAGCGATTTTCTGAACCGTCTCCCGAATCGAAATACAAAACGTTGTTAGTTTCCG